ACGGTGGAGACTGTGGAGTTGTAGAACGCCTGATTTGGGTGAATTTTGTTTGTTGTTGTTGGTGGTTTCCATGGTTGCTGATTGTGGATCTAGTGTTGTGGTGATGGATTTGGTCGTGACGATGGTTCTCTGCGTTCTGATTTGGTGGTTGTGCTGTAGAGGTGAGGAGGTGGTGGTGGTTCCGACAGTGGTTTGGGCTGTTGCAACAGTGTGGTTGTGGTCACAAGTCATTTGGTTGATTATGACTAATAAATTGGTTGATGTATACCAATAAATAATAAATTGTGACCAATAAATATAGTGTGACCTACCAATTTATTAATTTGTGATTAATAAAAGTAATCTGTGACCTATAATTTGATATTTTGTGACCATAAAATAAGTTGTGTGACTTATAAATTTTGTGATTTGTAACCGATGGACAAATTGTGACTTTTAAATTTTTAATTTGTGACCGATGAACGAACTCTGATTTATAAAATTTTTGAATCGTGACCTTAAATTTTTTGAATTGTGACCAATTGTATAGATCTGTGACGTTTATATATTTATTAATAAAACATATAATTAATTAATTAATCCATAAATAAATTTTAATAAAAATCTGATTTTTGAAATTTAAAACATCTATCCTTTTGAAACGATGATATTTAAAGGGGTATTTTCAAGAATGTCCACAATTAAGGGTGTGAGTTGAAAAGTGTCAAATTTTCAAATTTAATACTAAAGTGTCTATTATGCCCTTAATGAAAAAAAATGCCATTTGAATCTTTATGACCCATTTAAAAACTAAGAAACAAGGTTTATTAATTAAAAAATTAGATAATTTTATTTATGAAATAATTAATAAGAAATATATTTTATTAATTAAATATATTATGGTTACAATTACGTATTTATGTCACGACTTATTTTTAGGTCATATATTATCAAATTAATTGATCATAAATTATTTTTCTGTTACAAATCAATCACAAATCACAATTTTTATGAATTACAACTTATTTTACAGTCACAAATCACAAATTTTATATGTCACAACTTATTTCATGATCATAAATTATCAAATTAATTAATCACAATTTACTAAATTTTGAGTGACAATCACAAATTTGGTCACAATCATGCATTCCTCTAGGCCACATATTATTTAATGGTCATAAATTAACAATTTATTGGTCACGACACCTAAATAATTGATCACAAACATTCTTCTCACCACCACCATGAGCACTACCGCCTCCGGAATCACCACCACCGCGCCATAATTACCACAGTGCCTACAACACAACCACACCAACACGCCCACAATATACCATCATCGCACCCACAACACACGACCACCATATCTATCTCCATCTACACTACACCACAACGACCACCCCTACAAAAAAATTCACAAACCCACCACCATAGCCACCTGCACAACTACCACCTTAAAAACCACAACAAAACATGTTGCAAAATCGCTACAAAAACCACCAGAAACCTCCACAAAAACCTCCACTGCTGATTGCAACGTTGTAGAGACCTCCACAAGCGGTACCACAATCCGCAGAAATCAAGGTATAAACCTTCACAAACTGCGCTGTAATCTGTAACAATAAAGAAAAGTTTAGGTCGCCGCTGTGATCTACAGTGCCGGAGAAAAGTTCATATCTACAAGCGGCGCTGTGACCAGGCAAAACCATTGAGGCGCAGCGCTGCGCTTCAGCTCTTTTGCGCATCCAATGCCATGCCTCAAGGCCGGAGTTTTTTGTTGTAGGGAAAGAAAGGGAAATTAAGGTTTGGGGTGAATGAGATGGGGTAGGTTGTGGGGTCGGGTAGATTAATTTAAATCGGGGGTGGGGTGAGTTGTTTTGGTGGGGGTGGGTTTGTAGGTTTATTTAATTTTATAATGGGTAATTGGCGCAAAACGTCCCTACCTATGATGGGTTGTGTGAAAAACGTCCCTACCTATGATTTTTTGGTGCAGAACGTCCCTACCTTTACATTTTCTTGCGCAAAACGTCTTTTTCACCAATTTTTAACATAAAATGACAATTATACCCTCCTATACATAATAAAACAAAAATAAAAGAAAAGAAAAATAAAAAATAAATTGCAATCTGCTCCTAAACTTTTTTAAAAATACAAATCAGTCCAAACTTATAAAAATATTAAAATTAACAAAAAACTTTCAC